TACATAGATATATATATATATACATACAGTATGTTATGTATGTAACCTAACCTGAAATCTGACTTTGCAAGTTAAATGTCAGATATAAATCTTCACCTGTCGTGAGAATGGTTCTTTTTGAGTAAACAATGTCAGAGAATGAGAAAATGTCTCCAACAGCAAACCAAAAACAAAAGACCTTGAGGAGATGCTGACTCCAGCTGCTCAGAGACTGCTCTCATCCATGGAGCCAGCGCTCGGCCTTTAAGTGAAATATTCTGATTCACGTGTTGTGAAAGTGGATACTCTTTCTTTAGCACCTTCAGAGAATCTGCACCCGAGGACTTTTAGCACAATATTTTGATTCAGCGAGCACAGTCCTGATGGTTCTGATTTCCTTTCAATCCTCTTTTTTCCTTAACATTATGGAAATCAATAACTGTTATTCAGTTCGATATTTCACATGTTAAAAAGTGTCTGACAGGTGAACAGTGATTGTTTCCAAGTGTGTCTGCTGCCATCAAGTGGTCAGAAATTAAACTATAAAGCCTACATTTTCCAACAATCACTTATTTAAGATTAAAGTGTTAGGATGGTCAGCAGGAACTAACAGTTTATTCCCTTATTTAATGATATTTAAATGTGTGTATTGGATAAGCTGTTGACTGAACCAAGGTGGTGCAGATGTATGAAAATAGAGCTAAATATTACGGTCACATGTTAAACTGTCATATATTATATATAACCTCAAAGGAGGGCAATAATAAAGTGCCTGTGTCTGTTAGCAAAATATCTCATGAAGCAAAAGACGGATTTTATTGAAACTTGCAGAAAATAATCACTGAATTTATTTCTACAACTGGATTCACACAAATTCAAAACAACCATCAATGCTCATTGCAGTTAGCCAAGACAGATACGGCTACAACTGAGATAACTTTCCAACTATTGAGTTAAACGTTGTTTTGTTGTTTTATTGTAACACATCATCAATATTGCATGAGATTGCGCATAGTTATTTTTTTCAAGATTTGACCAAAATGTCTATAACCGCTCTAATCATAAGATGATCTTAATTAAAACCCTGCAAAGTTATGGACAATCTGCATTACTTCAATTAATGATAGCCCTTTAATGGTTTAGTTTTTTTATTTTTTATTTTATTGGCATTGTGGTAACACACACACTTGAATTACTTCTTAGCAGCAAACACCAGGTTTTACACTTTCTAATGATCAGGTAATCAATGCATTTGATTGGCAGCATCTGTAGTTATTGTTGTCTCCCATCGGGAGTGAAGAGAGGGTGGTGGAAATACCCTCACTCCGTCCATGTTTTGAGCACAATTTGAAAAATAAGTGAAGTACCGAATTTCATTTTGGTGTTTAGCTATATCTAAGAAAAATGCCTTTTGAAAATGGGCTTTTTGATTGGTTAAGGTTGTTGCTATGGTAACAAGCCAGCTGGGGATTTATGATGATGAAGGAAGGGATGGCTTCTGTAAAATGAAATCCACATGACCCAGGTGATTTATGTTCACTGCTTTTATGATGAATATCACACTTTCTCATCTTACGTCTGACCTGACTTCAGAAACACACATTTAGAAACACCATGCAAACTTAGATTGTCTGTCTGTTAGCAACATATCTCATGAACAGCTTGTTGGGTTGCTTTGAAACTAACAGAAAGTAATCACTGGATGTAAAACTGATTAACTTTTGGAGCCATCTGGGTTCAAGATGGCTGCCACAGCTACCTCAGAAAACACAAAATTGACTGTGTATCAGGCATTCTTTGAGATATTGACCTGAAATTTGGTTTGGCCTTATCTGCGAATAAGTTGTTATACATTCCTAATCCAAATCAAGAATCCAAGATGGCCACCTTAGCTAAAAGAGAAAAAATACGATAGCTACAGTATTTGAAAAGTTATTGAGCTGAAATTTGGTGTGGTTGTACCTGACAGTGATGCACAACACATTCTGAATTCAAATCTAAAAAATTCAAGATGGCCACCGAAGCTCATTCGAAATGGATATAACTCAGAGGTTTTTAGAGCTATTCAGCTGAAATTTGGTGTATGACTACCTGAGAACAATCCCTAATAGACTTTGATTACAAATCAAAAATCCAATATGGCTGCCTGAGCTATAAAGGAAGAATACTATAAATCAGCAATTTTTAGAGATATTAAGCTGAAATTTGATGTGGCGGTAGCTGAGAGCAAAGCCCAACAAATACTGAATTCAGTTAAAAAAAAATCAAGATGGCCACCAAAGCTACATTTAAATGGCTTTAACTCAGCTGTTTTCTCACACACACGTGCACGCACGCACACACACACACAGCTGAACTTTGGTGTGGTTATAGCTGAGAATGTTCCCCATCACATATTGAATCCAAATAAAAAATCCAAGATGGCCACCACAGCTTAAAAGAAAAAAAATGACTATAACTCATTGATTTTTTTATTGATTGATTTTTTTTTTTGCCATATTGAGCTGAAAGTTGGTGTGGTGGTAACTGAGGCCAAACCCCAACACACGTTATAATGTACATCGTGTGTTGCCTGATGTTAAAAACCCAGCAAGGACCAAATGCCTAATTTTTTAATGACCCGATAAATAAAATCTTAATTTTGAAAAAGTCTTTCCCAGCTTCAACCATACTATTCCATTTTATTTATAAAGTACTTTCAACAGCGCCAGGTCCAGCCAAAGTGCTGTACAGACAGAAACCAACAGGCAGAGCACACAGCAACACATAACATAACGTATAATCAAAATATGGAAACAAAATAATAGCAGCTAATAACATAATGACTAACACAGTGTGATGCATACAGGATCAGCACAGATCATACAGTGTTGAAAGCCAGGGAATAGTAGTGGGTTTTTAAGTGGGATTTAAAAACTTTGAGGAAGGGGGGCCTGTCTGACAAGTAGAGGTAACTCATTCCATAGTCTTGGACCTGCGACAGAGAAGGCCCTGTCACCTCTGCGTTTAAGACGGGTTCCTAGAACTGTGAGACGTAACTGGTCCGCTGACCTCAGAGAACGCGGTGGGACATACGGCTGCAGCAGATCAGTGAGATAGGAGGGTGCAGAGCTGTTCAGTGATTTATAGACATACAAGAGTATTTTGAACTGGATTTGAAGGTGAACCGGTAGCTACAGTAGTGCAGTGAGGCCAAAACTGGTGCAATATGCTCTCTTTTGCCTGTACTGGTTAAAAATCGGGCTGCCGCATTCTGGGCCAGTTGTAGTCGTGCAATGGAGGCCTGACCGATACCAAACAGGAACGAGTTGCAGTAATCGAGCCTGAATTGACTGTAACTCTTTAATTTAGCACTTTTTATTGCAAGAAATGTACTGATTAAAAACATTTACATACATTTTGAGCACAAAACAATCTAGACATGTTTTGTTTTTGGGGTTTTTTTGCCATTAAAGCAATCTAACTGTTTGAAAATGTGTGTCTAACAGGCCAGATTCTCCTACCTCCACATCAAGTACCTGTTCTTTTCATGGCTGGCAGTGTTTGTGGGAAGCTGGATAGTATACGTGCAATATTCGTCCTACACAGAGCTGTGTCGAGGGCATGACTGCAAAAACTCTATAGTGAGTATCCTGATGCATGCTCAATAACACACCTAGATAAATCTAACAAGGGTGAGCCATGGCCTCTGGACGGCTTCTTCTTTGTTGAAATGTTTCGTCTTTTATCCTAAGCTCTTTAGGATAAAAGATGAAACGTTACAACAAAGAAGAAGTCGTCCAGAGGACCTGACTCCACCTTGATAGATCTATAGTGAGTACTTTTCCTGTATGCACTCAAACTGTGGTTTTGTGTCTGTTCCTCTATGAGATGTGTATTTCTTTGTGTCAGTGTGACAAATACAGGAAAGGACTCATCGACGGGTCAGTCTGCAGCAGCATGTGTGAGAAAGAAACGCTTTACCTGGGAAAGTGTTTCACTGCCAAACCAAGCAGTCAGGTCAGTCCATTTAGAAAATGTTTCTCTCCTCCAGTGTACTCAGCTGGAGTCCAACTGCTCCTCTGGCCTGTCTTGTTCATTGTAGGTTTACTCAGGGAACTGGGGAGATTTACCGGGAGTAATCAAGTGCCAGATCAAGGAGGCCCCTCACTATGATTTGGGAGGTGAGATGGAGCCCAGGAGGGAAGCTGCTGCCTTCAACAAGCCCACCAAGGGAACCTCGGTGGAAAAGTTCAGAGAGATGATAATCAACCACCTAAAGGTCAGAGAGGTTTTGTTCACCATCAGGTCTCAATGCAGAACCTTGGTTTGTTATAAAGTATTTAAGAAGGGATGTTCGGTCAGCTAGTTATCAATGGTTTGTACCTTATCAGCCGTGACATCAACACAAAAAACATTGATAATGGAGAAAGAGGCACAAATCTTTGGCCAGGCTAGGCTGATGGCTATTTATCAGCATGCTGGGAGTTGCATAAACCTTTACATTGACTAAACGTACTACTCAGGCAGATTGATACATTCACAGCCTCAGACCAGTTGGCATAAACCAAAGTTTTATGTAGATGTCTACCCATGTATCCCATGTAAAGACCTACCGGAACCAACCCTACTTGTTTGCTGCTTCCAGCACAAGTTTTAAGTCCTGTCCTCTTCGTGTACATGAACGAGACATTGCTGTTGGTAAAATAACAAGTACAACTTGCACAATTTTTTACCCAGTCATTGATGCTTGTTGATTTATTACGTTCTTACCCTACTACATGTTTTTATATTCATTTTTATATGTTTATATGTGAAGGCGGGGTTATTTAATTGTGGTCTTTGTCGATTAGTAAACTTTCTCGTCTGGCCCACAACTTCTGATCAGCTCAAGATAATTTAACAAAACTTCATACACATATGTATTATCACTAGATGGAGTGTCATGTACACTTTTCATCACCTCAGCTTTAAGGTCACAAATCAAGATCAAATGTTATACAAAGTCTTTTTTCTTGTCCGGGCCATTGCTAGAGATTGCTTTAGAAGTTCGTCAATGGGCGTATAATGTGCCGTATGTAGTACTCTTGTTGTACTCAGTACTTTGGCTATAGTAATTACAAGCTGAAAAGAAAACTGTGACTGTGTGTGGGACCTAAAGCCCTAAATATTGGGCCCACGTTTGGCAATTTATTAGTTGATCCTGGAGGAAGCCTCTCTTTTCTTGATTCACTGACTGATTTCACAGCTGATAAGGTTCCAACTCTTGATAACGCTTCTAAAGAGCAATTCTTCTAAAATGACCAGACTATCCCATTAAAGCTTCTTTTCTTTACAGGCTAAAGTAGGGGACCAGGCCAACCTTGCAGACCTGGCAACCCAGGTATTGTCCATAGCAGATGCTAATAAGGATGGTCATATCTCACTACCAGAGGCTCGCTCCACATGGACTCTGCTGCAGCTCAATGAGTTCCTGTTGGTGTTGGTCTTGCAGGGTCGGGAGCACACACCAAAGCTGCTTGGCTTCTGTGGAGACCTTTACATGATGGAGAAGGTGCCATATTCTTTGTATGGGATCAGCCTGCCTTGGATCATTGATGTGTGGATTCCTGCTGGTCTGCGCCGCAGAATGGACCAGTGGTTCACACCCTCATGGCCTCACAAGGCAAAGATCTCCATCGGCCTGCTGGAGCTGGTTGAGGACATCTTCCACGGCACTTATGGCAGTTTCCTCATGTGTGATGTGAGCACTGCTACTTTTGGTTACAATGACCGGCATGACTTTAAAGTGAAGGATGCCCGATACATCATTCCTGAAGTCACCTTTCAGGAAAGACTTCAGCAGCAGCGCTGCGACGTGGACGAAGACTGTCTGTATGGGGCAGACTGCCTGACCAGCTGTGATCTCACCAAGCATAGGTGCACACCTGAGGTCACTAGGCCAAACTTGGCAAAAGCCTGTGACACGCTGAAGGACTACATCTTGAGGGGAGCCCCATCTGATGTGAGTGAGGAGCTCGAGAAGCAGCTGTACTCTTGCATTGCACTCAAGGGTTCAGCAGAACAGATGGAAATCGAGCACTCGCTCATTTTAAACAACCTGAGAACATTACTGTGGAAGAAAATCTCTCATACAAAAGATTCTTAAACACACAGCTATTACCACACTGGTACAATGACACCTTCCAGTCTTTAAAATGGACAATCTGTGGTAATGATGGGAACATTCCTCTTTGTATTCAATTTAACATGCATACTTAATGTATTTGAAGGCATCGTCTCACTAGGCTGTGACTGTTGGTCCCAAAATTGCAAGAAAATTGTCAGGTTCCCAGGTCCCACGAAATTTTGACCAGTAAACCAACATGGGTGGCTTTTGAAAACCTATTTTCCAGTGCATAGCACAGAAAAACTTCATTCTGCGCCTTAAAAAGGTCAAAATAATGTTTTGTTCATGTTTCAAGGTGTAAATGAATGAAAAACACGTCAGGGGAAAAGGAGGCTTAAAGTTCCATCTTTCTAATACCTAAAGTGCAATGACTCATCTCTCAACCAGTCACGTGTAACTACAACAGCTCACATTGGCCTCGTTAGGAAGCGATTCTATTCATACTTTAATCCCAAAGGTAAATTAAATGTTGTAGCTCATTGTCCTGGTTTCATTCAAGAGTTGTTATAGATGCTGATGGCTGTGGGCAGGGTCTCCTGCAGCTGATCCAAAGAATCTGGCCTCAGATGCTGAGGTCTCTCTGGTAAATGAGTCCCCGAGGATCAATGGGACTAACCTGTATAAAGGTTGAATGAATGATCCACCCAGACCCTGCGAGCCTGTCTTCCTGGGCAGCAGGACCTCCCAAATACCAGACAAAACTCTTCCCCAAGTGATGACCACTTGTCCCAGCAGCTGCCAAGCTCCTTTTCACCGCGGACAACCAGCTGCAGGTGTTGGGGGACGATCCCCGTCGTCCAAATGTCATGAGCCACATCGCTTCCCGCCAGCTCCAGGATCTCAGCAGTCAGGCACTCGAGCACCGCCGCCAAGTAGACAGGACTTCGTCCACGGCACCTCCTTTCGAACTCATTTGAGGGTTGGGGCTGTAGTTGATGTGAGCTTTTGAGATATCAGCTAATCCCGGTTGCAATAAACACCTTGTTACGGTTCCGCATCATAACGAATGTCCAAAAGTAAAGGTTTTCAGTAAAAAATCCTTCCAGCTGAACAGCATCTGGTCCCAGAGGAAATAAATCATCAAAAAAAGGCGATTTACATCCAGAAATGAGGAATTAAGGTTTTCAAAAGCAACATGTCAGAATGAATCAGAGCTCTTCCAACTTGAGCCGCACAACTCTAGAATCTTAAGTGACGACCCAAATTACTCCTGACGCAGGATGAGCAACTCTTACCTGGGATTCTTCATTTTTCTCCTTTACAACTGGACATGATTTATGTCAAGCTTTTGTGCAGGTGACAAGATGCAGCATGCAACGACTGACATCAAAATTCTCAGTATTGTTTTTATCATGGTCAAATTTCAAACTAGTCAGCAAGTCCCTGCTACTTGAGCAAGGAAACAGAACATTTCAATGCCTTTTGGGGGTCCCTCACAAATGTTTTACCATCAAGTGACCAACAGTTGAAGCGCAGTGATGGGTTTATGTTCCACAGCTGTCAGGAATGTCATTTCAGCAATTCATGTATTAAGTGCTTTACAGAGACTAGAATATGCCTTTTGTTGTTTTTAACAAACCAGGACCAAGAAAATAAACATTTGATAAAGGATCCTCCTGCACTGGATCCTGTCTTGATCATTTTACCATGTCTAATTTCAGTTCGTCTAAAATCAGTGTTCTTAAATAAATAAAAAAACTCAAACAGCAAATGCGTCTGCATTTTTCAATTTAGGGCCACGATGAACTGGGACCGTGAACCTCTGGTCTGCTGCTGAATTTATGCATTTCAGCTTCATTAAAGATACACGAGCAGCAACAGCCAGGACAATGCAGCCCTCGCTTACCATGCAAATCTAACCACGTTACGATATTTAACAAGAGTTGACTCAAACCTGAAGGTCAATGTAACAAAGGATTATTTTTTTATAGATAAAAAAAAAAAAACTACTTCGAATGAGGTTGTTATAAAATTAAACCTTACTGCATGAAGATGTGGCCCAGTGCAACATAATCAACCTGCAGCAGCATGTTGAACACTTCAGTATATTACTTTTTGACATGGATTAGTTGAGTCTTTGAAGCGCATTAGTTTTTGTTGCCGTTTAAATCGGTGCTGCTGCTGTTTGAATAGTTGGTGCCATTAAGAGAAAACAGCTGCAACATAGGTCCATGAAGAAATGAGAATTTGCTCTTCGTGCACAAATTTAACTGCCTTTTTAAAAAAAATAAATAAAGCCAGTCGAGAAAAAATAAACTGGCTCCTGTATTATTAAAACAAACTACAATATAAGTGAATAAAAAGACAAACTGCATGAGTACTTGGCTGCTCTACCAGTGCAGTCGCAGTGTGCACATCTGTGAATCGATCAACCTTCAAAGCCCCCCTAAGAAAACGGAGATTTAATCTCATGTTTTTATACATGAGCTGTATATCGAGAGCAACGCGTGAATAAAGTACACGTGAACACCGACTCCTTTTCATATTTATTTAGAACAAATCGCTGCGTTTGGAACAAAGTAGACATCTTATTCATCAGCCTCCTGTTCCTGAGCTCGAAGGAAGCTGGCCTTCTTCTGGGCGACTCGGTCTTTCCTCTGAGCCAGAGAGAGCTTGGCCCGGTTCCACCTTCAGTCACAGAACATAGTTACCATTTTAATAGAATTACAATAAATCAAAGCTGCTGTGAGAAAGTACTTCTAACAGAGTGAAATGATCTTAGACCATATTGGACTGGATTCCACCTCCCTTCAGATTTAAACAACTCGGACTCATTCAAATCATTTCTCACCTCTTCTTCTTGACTTCTTTGGGAGGCTTCTTTTCATGAACAGGGTTTGCACGAATATCGGCATGAGCCTTTTTGTACATTGCCTCAATCTGAAAAAAAGATGAACGTAAACTTTCCAACAGACGTTAAACATAACCAAGGGAACTAATGGTTGGTCCAGCGTAGTGTTGGAAGAAAAACTGAACAAATCCACAAATAACTTGCCGATTCTGGGTTGACTCCGTTTTTGATGAAGCGGGAGAATTGCCTTTTGTAAGCCTCCTCGTCCTCCTCCATCAAAAGGCTCATGTACTCGGACACGTTGATGCCCATGATGTGCTTACGGTGGACCTCTGCGTTGAACTCCTTGCTCTCTGCATCATACCCAGGGAAGCGCTTGGTGCTGGAAAGAAGAAAAAAAAAAACAATTTAATTAGGACCAAGATGTTTATAGAGTATTTTTACGGTATTGTTTTATATAAAAATGGTTGAATACATTTTGAAAAATGGCACTTTTTAACAGCAGTGTTCCCTGACTGCACGAGCTTGAATCTTATAATCCCTGAGTGAGACGAAGTGGTTTTAAAAGAGAAACCGTCACTGTTATATTATGAGCAAAAATCGATTTTTGGCTTTAAAAATGGCACATTTAAGTTTCCATGCTATATTTTTGAATATAACAGTTATATAATAGCCAAAAAGTAAAATTAATATACGTTTTCAGTGATAACCTTCAGGAGTCTTGCCACTTTAATCACAATTGTTGGGTTCGACACTTTCCATTTATGACCCTTTTGGTCACTACAAGTTCTTGGACACGTGATGGTTCAGGCAAATTAGACAAACATGATCAACAGACTTGACGCAAAAAGCACAATTTTGTTTTTTTTGGAAATAAATAAATAAAAAGGTAAACTGAGACAAACTTTTGCTACAATGTGGAGGAAACAAATAATCGTCTTTAGATGTTAATCTGTTAAATGTTGAAGAACTGAAACAGCGACTCCTGTAAAAACACGCCAACGGGCTGCGCTTTCGCTCCTGCGTCAATGATCAGTTTTTGCTACGACGCTGTTACTTTTCTCCATGTTTCTGTCCTGCTGCTCAGTTTTTGATAGGGTTCAAGTGAGCACTGCGTGGCAGCAGCCCTAAAGGGGAAAAAATCCATAAAGTCGCTTCGCCGTATACGTCGCATCTATTATGCGTCACCGCTGACGGGTAACGTTTGTTATGTGACAATCCAAAAATGTGGGCAAGTGTGCCAAAAAAAAAAAAAAAATAAATAAATCGATGGGCTGCCAAATGGCGGCCGTGGGAGCATGCACGGGAGGACTTTAACAATAATTTAACAAGCTTAGTAGCAGTTGCAGGTAACCTCGGACATGTGGAAATCAAGCTCAGCGATACTAACGGGAATGAGCGAAAGGTGAAGTCCACCCTGGACAAGTTAGTGGGACCAACACACAGTCTAGACAGAAACTATGCACCCTCATCCACTGGAAACTTGCTTAAATTAACCAGCATGCATGTTTTTACCATACCATTTTATTTATAGAGCACTTAAAACAGCGACAAGGCCAACCAAAGTGCTGCACAGACAGAACAACAGGTAACACACCAAGCAAAATAAAAAATGAGGTAAATCAGAATATAGACATAAAAACGATGCAGATAATGACGACTAACCAGTGTGGAGCATACAGGATCAAAACACAGATCATCTGGTGTTGAAAGCTACTGAATAGTAGTGAGTTTTTAAACGGGACTTGAAAACCAAGAGGGAGGAGGCCTGTCTGACAAGCAGAGGTTTTTGGACTGTGGGAGGAAACCCAAGTACTCTGGTAACATCATTCTGCACAGGGAGGCCAAGCACCCAGAAAGATTCGTGGTGAGATTTTAACCTGTGATCTTTAAAGGTGCAACTTCACGGCTCCACCATACTTGATGCATGATTTAGAAATGTTAATATGTTCTGTGGTTGAACTGTAAATGTCAATGCATGCTGCTGAAAATCAGAGAAAAAATACTTCCAGTGGATGTTGAGAAGAATCAGAGGTTATTATACCCATAAAAAACTCAGGCACAGTTTTCACTGACTATTCAATTAACAAGGTGGGAAGAAAATGATGCATAACTCAAATCAAGCAGCTCTGGTCCTGCACAATAGACTATTCTTATTCCAAACTCCTTAAGCTTTTCTTGTAAAACAAAGAATAAAGTGGGAGAAACTCTGATGCAGCTGCAGCTCAAAGGTTAACTGTTTTTTTTCATATTATACTAAAACTTAGACAAGTTATACAACAAACTTAATTTGTCTTTTTAACAGACTGAAGAGGCCAGATGAGACATCACCTGGAGCCAGTTCTAAATGAAACAATTTAGATGGTTTATAAATTACAGTTCAGAAGGGAGTTTTTCCTTTCCACTGTTGCCACTGTGCTTGCTCAGGATGGGAGACTGCAACAAAGCTAAGATTCAACGTGTCTGCTGGATTCCTTAGATAGAGAACTTTACTAATTGTTTTTTATGTATGTGAATGTTCCTGTAAAGTGCCCTGAGACAACTTTGTTGTGATTTGGTGTTATATAAATAAACTGAATAGAAGAGTTTTTGTGCAGGTTTGCACAGGTTTTGAAATTATGTTAAATATTTACCAAATATGAATCAATATGGTTGAAGTCTATATTTCATATTAGGTTAAGTTTTGAAAATATAAATGTTAAAGAAATATGGTAAAAAAAAAAGTGAAGTCTTTATTTTATTTTCAGTTAAAGTTTAGTATACTATGGTAGGTTGAAGTCTGTTTACTTTTGTATTTATATATTTTGAATTATTTGTCAGTGATGGACTGGAGACCTGTCCAGGTGTCCCCCACCTCACGCACAGTGATGGCTGATATGGGCACCAGTGATACCCTTGACCCGAAAAGGAAGAAGTGGGTAAAGATAATGGATGATGGATGAATTATTTGTTCCTAGATTTTTTTTTTTTTTTAAGAAAAATCCAGGCAGCTAACCTATTACTGATAATTTAAGTTACAGGATGTTATGTACTCCTATATTTGTTCCCATTTTTAAATATAAAATTATGCAAAAAGATTTGATACACTAAAGAACCTAAAGTCATTGTTTTCAATAAATGTTGTATTTGTTTACATTGTTGTTGTTTAATATTTTCATTTTGTCAAATAAATAACAAACAAAATTTATGACCATTTCAATAGAAAAAATAAGTTTCTGAATCAAATTTTTTTTGGATTTTTGAATCAAATAGTAACGCCAAAAATCGTAACTGAATCACCAGACAGATTCACACCCCTACTGCTAAGATGAGCAAAGTGGGTAAAATGTATACCTTGTTGAACAGCCTGTTAATCAAACAAACAGATGGAAGTAATTGCCATATTTAGTTAATAGTAGTGTTGGGAATATTTACCCATTCGATTGCAATTCACAGGGCTGCAACATGACTATAACACTGTGCTTTTTTTATTTTTTCAATCAACTCCTTCACATTACTATTTTTAGAGCAAAGTATTAGTGTCCTTCCAATGAATTTACTTCTAGTTGTACATCTCACTCAACCATCTTGTACACATGTACGTTTTGTGCAAGCCAGATGTTGAACTTCCATGAGTTGAACCCATGTGTACCACAAAATTTATATGAACTTGAACAAAATCATTTTTGACATTAGATAATGTATTCAGAATTGTTCATGTTTTGTGGTGCATCTAAAAATCGCTTTCATCCTCGCCTCTAGTCAACCCCCCCACCCCCAAAAGAGACTAGCAGTATTTTATTTGACTTCTCTAAAGTTTATTGATATCATGGAGTAAGACCAGTGTGAGTTTCTCTCCCTAACAGCTACTGGCTGATCAGTGAAAAGAACAAGTCCTCTGTAACCCACTACTGAACAGAATAGAGGTGTCACACGTTTACACCATTCAACTAGGAAAAATAAACGTTTATGTCATTCACCTTGCACTATAACACTGACACTCTGCAAACAATCTTGAAAGTTATTTTTCTACTTCGTAAAGAGCTCGTTACTGTCATCAGTATGTGACTAATCAACACTTGACCCATAAAAACTGGCAACAATTTGTCACCATGGGCACCACAAAAAGTTAAATGTCCCATCTAATCAACAGCACTGCGCTCACATCCAAATGGTAAACGGACTGTACTTGTATAACACCTTTCTATCTAATCAAGATACTCAAAGCTCTTTACAACAATCTGTGCCTCATTTACCTCCACACACATTCATACAGCTCTCTACTACATAAAGATAACTCTGAATCTGTAGAGACCAATCAGTGCTTTAGATCACATTCATACACTGATGAGACACACACTGGAGGCAGTGAGGGGTTCAGTGCCTTGCCCAGGGACACTTCAGCATGTGACTGCTGATGGAATTGAACCTCCCAACTCTCCCATTGGAGGACGACAGCTCTAACCACTCAGCCACAGCTGCTCCTGCATCCATCTTAATTTAATCTGACAATATGATCATAGTAAAACATCTCCCCTACAGTTTTGTTCGATTACGTAAAGATGGTGGGACAGAACACAATAAGTTGCAATGAAGAATTTAATAGTGAAATGGTTTTTAAATCACGTTAGGTGCGCCATTTATTTAGGTTGAAGACAAATTACTCACAAAAGTTAATCATTCAAAAGCAGCAAAATAACCACAAGATGCAACACTGATCACACTTGCTACTTTACATTTACCGATACCCATCCCTGATAGTACAAAAGTACGAGCTGAGCACTTTGTAGCAATGCAGGAAATTATTGATGGAATGATTTACTGCCCACTACAAAAAGTAAAGTAGTGGAGCTAATCTTTAAGAATGTGACCAGCAGTTATCAAGGCTCATACTTTGAAATGGGTCCAGATGTTTTAAGTCAAGACAAAGCTCAGAGCAGTTCAAATAAATTCAGCTTTAATTGATTAGATTGATTAGAGGTGAGATTTGCCAAGAAGCTAATGTCATGACAAAGATGCTTTGAACATCTGAGGATTGAGCTATAGTGAAATTTTTGTGTTTTGAAATGGCCCAATCTTTCTTAAGCTGATAACATCGTCGTTAATGCACAATCTCAGTGTCACACTTCATCACGTTCATGTCTGGTGTGAAAGGTCACCTGTGTGGGATGGACAGGCCTCCATCCACCGCCCCCTTCAGAGCACCGAACACCTTGTTGCCAGTGGTGGTTCTAGCGAGCCCAGCATCCAGGTAGCAGGTGAAAGCGCCTGGCTGGCCGTCGATGCTCTCCACGTTGAACTCGTCACCCGTCACCTCCACCTGGCCTTCATACACCTTATCCAGGCCAAACTTGTTCAGAAGCTGTGGACAGAAATCAGATGGGGTAAAGTTATGTAGAACTGTGCCCATTACTCAACACATCCATCTTTTTATGAACAAGATGTATACGTACTCTGCGGGCCAGCAACAGACCAGTGCAGTAAGCTGCTGCGTAGTTTGTCAGACCCACAGTGATTCCGTATTTTGGTAGCTCGTGTGAGTAGGCAGCGCACACGATCATGTCACCCTCAATTTTGGCATAGGCAATCTGTAACACAACAAGCAGAATGGAAACCGTCAACTTCTGTGAACAAGAGAACTTATCGTTTTGAACTTACCTGATTTAGAATAAACATACCATCAAATTATAATTATATGATACAAGTTGTTGCTTTGGCTGCTAGTGGCCAAACATTCATAGTTTCATCCAATTAAGCCATTTGAAATGGCTGGAATTTTGAACGGGTTCATTTTTGTGCTAAATATTTTTTCACAGAATAATTCAGTTGTCATGGGGGTCTTAAACCCGTCTTAAAAGCCTTAAGAGCTGTAGTTTGTCATCTGCATGGGAGCGCTCTTCAGACAGAAAACATCTTTCCAAACATCTGGGTCTAAAATGTACATTGTTGCTAAAAGTTTTAAAAACTGGTCCTAATTTGTCATTCCAAGTGTACTACAAAGAAATCATAAATACAAGGTCAGCTACCAAAGGTGGGTATAATGCGCATGGCATAAAAGCGA